GACACACAGGTTGTCCCTGCTGCGGTGACCTTCGCGCCACTCGTGCCCCAAGTCTGGTCCATGGCCAGCTAGAAGCGCTTCCAGCTGCTGCCTTTTGTTGGGGCCTTCACTCTGGCTTGGCTGCACTGGTTTGTCACCAGTTGGCTTTTCCTCCCTTTGGTTTGGAAGTTGGTCTTGATTTTGGGCCCTGGCTTTTTCTTAGAGGGTGGCTTTTCCTGGTTTTCGTCACCAGGTGTTTCAGGGAAGACTACCTGGGGTCCTTCACCAGTACCATACTGGAAAAGTTCCTGCACTCTGTTTGCCAGGAAAGCATTGATGCGGCCCACGACCTCATCTTTGATGAGCACTTGTTGCTCCCAGTTGAGGTCTCTGCGCTGGTTTGCTGCTGCTTGCACCAGCTTGTCGACCGCCTGGTTTGCTTCCCAGCGCCACCAGTTTTCTTGCCCAAATTTGGCTTGAAAGGCATCCTGGGAGAGGTGGGAATTTACCCATGTGAGGCTCAAGCGGTCCTTTTGATGGCGCAGCTCCTGGAAAATGTCCTCAGGAGCAAACTTTTCTCAGTCTTGCGCACAGAGTCGCGGCCCGTGAGGGCAGGTCTGAAAGCTGTACTCTGACAGCCAAAGAAGCAGCTTCCTTGTGTTAAGGAGCGCTCAGAGACCCCCGACCTCCCAGTTCTTGCTGGAAGGTACGCGGAGGGAACTACTTCAGGTCCTAACACAGGTCCTACCTCCCGGTCCCTGCCGGTGAGGTTGAAGAAGCAGCTCACTCAGCCTGAGGCCCTTTCCCTCCCACCATTAGGGAGGTTCTAGGAAGCCAGTCCCTCCCAGGGAGAACCAAGACCAGCAAGGGCCGCTTTCTCCAGGGTGGGCCAGACCCCCTAGTTGTGGAGAGCTTTAGGTGAGCTGGCCGTGCCCCGCTGCTCGGTAGGGAGGAGAACCCCCCAAGGCTTGGAGCAGAGAACCTAAGACTCACGAGCTTGGGTTGGACGCTGGGCGGCAACTGAGGTGGCCCTTGCGTTCTCGCTCTTACTAACAAGGGCCAGAGCACCCATGCCGCAGCAGCTCTGGGCACTCGGCTACCTCTGCCAACCAACTCCACCCCAGTAACGGGCAGTGGAAGCAAACTGCCTTGGCTAAAAGGCTCGAGCAGCAGAGTGACCACAGGCCCCCTGTCTGCCGAGAGAAACCTCAACTCGGAGGGATCCGCCGCGAGGCTCTGCACGATCCGCGCCAAACTAACAGAGCTGTGCATGCGGTGTTTGCACTGAAAGGCGAGGCCCAAACACGGCCAGGCCAAAACTGAGAGGGTCTATGCAGAGACAGTGAGCGCGCACTGCCTTCTGCACTGCGGTTGGGTACTGGCCCCCGGCGCGGGCCTGTTCACGCTCACAAGGCGGCCTTAGCCAACCGTCCACCCTCGGCAGCTGAAACCAAAACCAAAGCGAAAAAGTCAGCCGGCACTAAACCCTCTCAATGAGCGCGAGGGCAAACGCACCCATTACTATGCACAAACGCGCAGGAGTCGACGCTCCCCTCAACAAGCGCGGGGACGACGCCGCACCAGCTGACCCATCACCCTTGCTCGGGCTGCAGCTCAGGCAGGACCCACGGTCTGGACAGGCCTGGGAACCTGCTGCCAATAAAGAAGCAAGCGCTTAGCCGCACTTGCCATGCCACCCTGAAAAGGAGTGGACTAAGGAAAATCCCAAGTACTTGGCTCAGCTCGACGCCAAGCACAGGGACGCAAGAGCCCGCAGTAACTCCTGCAAATGTGACACCTGCCCGCAGACAGGTTCGGCCCAACCAAGCTTGAAGGCATACTGCAAGGCCCTCAAGCGGATGACCGAGGCTGAGGGAGCTAAAAAGGAAGATCACCTCGAGGCTGGTGAGATGATCTCCTGCATGTCCAGAATGCAAGCTCCTGTATTGGCGGCTCACTACAAGGCCCACCGCCGCCCTAAAAACAACCCTAAACCCTACCAAAGCCGCCAAGGGAAACCACCTGGAGGAGCCTCCACCACCTTGGTGGTCCTCACGCTTGCCGTCACTTACCCACACCACACATGTAGGCAATCCTAACCTTCTCGTTGCTTGTCGGTAAAGACCTGCCTCCATCTGTTCTCCTGCCCAGGTAGGCATGGTCCCAGGAGTGCACTGCATGCATGGCCGCACGTAGTGAAAGCAAACGACTAACACAGCTGACTCTGGTCTCACACAGTAGGTCCAGGGGCACCAACTGGGTGCTTGCTCAAGTTTGCCTGGGGTGAGCTCGCAGCGTAGAGACTGCCACCCGCTCCAGACTGCTCACCAGCTTGGCCCGGCCCTGGGTGCTTAGTGTCCCTGCACCAAGGAAAACCCTCCAAAAGCCGTGGCTTTTGACCGTGAAGACAGAAGGGCGAGCACCCCAAACTTGAGCCACAATGTCCCCCCTCGTAGGGTGGGTCCGCGTCTGGCGTTGCTCTACCACCCACCACAGGGGGACGTACCCCCTTGGCGCGGTGGACAGTTCCCCCGAGGGCCGAGCCCTTTCCGGTGGGAGCTGGCAAGTCCCTTGGGTGGACGTATCCCCTTCGTGAGGTGGATTGGTCCCCCGGAGGGCTGAGCCCTTACCGGTGGGAACAGGCAAGTGGGAGTGATGGCCCGAAGAAGCACAGCTACAAAGCCTGGGATTCACCTGTTTGGGGTCTCTTCAGCACACAGTTAGAGCCCAGGACTGTTTGCAGACAACTACTTCTCCGACCACTGCGGTCACTCGAGCCAGACCTTGAGCCAGGAGCAAACTTTTCATTCGCCGAGCGCGGAGGCCGTCGTAGACGAGGTCTCAACACGTGAATTCCATGCAGAAGGGTGAGTACCTCAGACCCCTATTGGGTGAAGGGCTACGGCAACCTCGGCCAGTAAGGCGAGGGGCGGAGGCCCTACCTCTGTACAGGGTTTCAGTACCACCTTTGGGATGCCTTCGGCAAGTCCCAGGGTAAAAACGGGGTCCTGGCTTCTGTAGCCTCAGAGGGGGTGAAAACTTTGTGCCCCGGCTCGAAAGCCTCAGAAAGTGATGAACCTCAACCAGGAAGGTGAGGAGCCTCAATCCAGAGGTGAGGAGCCAGAGCAGCTGCCCTTAGCCTGGGCGAAGCCAACCTCAAGAGAGGGGACCCTGAGGGAGCGGCTGGAGAGGAACCTCCAGGGGCTCGTAAAGAGTATCCTAAACCCCACCAATCGCACCCAAACGCCCTTAGGAAAGAGAACGGCGGGGAGAAGAGAAAGTACGAGGTGAACCTTAGCCAGAAGCGAGGAGGGCTGGGCCCAGGGGCGAAGGACAGGGGCAACCTCAGCTACACTGCCACTGGCCTGCACAACACCACGGTCCACCAAGCACACAGGCAGGTTGAGTGGGCATTGCTGGCCGAAAAGAGACCGAAGGTGCGCGACTCCCTTGGCCCGAGGGAGGAAACGGAAGGGTCAAAAGGGCCTAAAGAAAACAACCAAACCTGAAGGCTCATCTGCAAGCGCAAGCAAGCCGAGACGAGCTGCCAACTGCCCATCTGCAGCCACAGCAACAGAGCTGCAGCCCCTCAATTTGGACTTAAGCGCGGGGCCCACGCATTCTCCTCAACGAGGCGCAGGGAACGACGCTTTCCCTTCAATTCTCAAGCGCAGGGAACAACGCTGTGCCACTCAGCCGCAATGGAAGACGACGGGCAGAAAAGAGACCTGCCCCTGAGAAACCCAGGAGGGAGGAACAGGGCCTGCAACCCAAAACCCAAGGCAGGTAAACAAAAAGAACGGGGCCAGGAAGCCAAAGGTGCTGCAGGGAGGAAAGCCAGGGACTGCTCAGCCCACGGAGAACAGCATGACTGCCAACACCAAACTCAGGCGTGCAAGGATAAAACCTTGTGCGGCGGGGTATACAGAGCTCGCACCCGAATCCCGCCGGGCAAAAGCAGGCTGAGTGAGGGTCCTGGCCTTGGCGCCCATGCTCAAGTGAAGGCCATAACACGCGACGCACGACTGGCACCAAACGAAGTGAATAACAAAGGAACCCCTTGAGTTGCAGCGGGACCTTCTCCGCAAAACAGGCAAAAGCGAGCAAATTTTGCCTAAAGCAACAAAAGCCAAAACAGCTCCAGGCCAGCAGTATAGGCGAAGTGTCGCAAAAGCTGCGAGAGTTACGCCAGGGGAGAGACGACACTGCATCACAGGCCAGAAAAGCTGAGTGGGAGCCCGGCGGCACGGAGGCGCCAAGCGAGAAAGAATCCTCCCTAACCTATCCTAAACCCCAACGGCGGGAGGCAGCGCAACGCCACCTCAACCCAGTAGGCGAGGGAGGGAAGGGGCTTGCAGTATGGTACTGCAGGAGACTGGGAGGAACCACTGTCTCGTCCCGAGGGAACCCGAAGGAGAGCCTGTAGCACCTCGAGGGACGCTTACGACTAAAAAGTGGTTGCCCTAAGAACACTGGTGCTCCCGGCACAGCTTGCGAAGGCAAATCTGCCGCTCTCCACGGTCAGATCCACAAAGGGGCCCTGCGTCTGGGGCGGGAGAAGACCAGTTCAACCAGCTCAAGAGGAACCTCACCTTTGAAGACACCGTCCACCACAGTGAAGGGAGGAAAAACGGACTAGTGCCTCAGCCACAAAGGCGAGGAGCCGAAGGTGCAGCACGAAGGCAAGGTCAGGGCACCTCGACAACTGTCTTCGTCCAAGCAAAACTTCCAGCGACCAAGAACCTGGTGAAGTGTACAACAGGAGTAGTGCAAGGACGGCAAGGATGTGCTATTGCGCTAAACTACTGCCCTCGACCGTCGGTCGGAACTGCCACTACCCCTCCCACGCGCCGAGCCCACAGGGGCAGGAAAAGCAATGGTTGGGTTTGAGCCTGTTACGGAGCCAAAGCACTAGCTACGGACTCGAGGCTGGGCGGCCACGACGGCACTGCAGGTTTGAGCACTCACAGCCTTGAGCCAGGAGCAAACTTTTCACACCCCCTCATGCCCGAGAGTCCTCTTCACTTCTCCTCAAAAGTCTTCTTCGCGTTCTTCAGGAGAGCGAATCCTAAACCCGCTGGATACACACCTGACTCAGGAAGAGGAAGGTAGTAGTGGCCGTGTCCCTCAGAGCACTGAGAAGAAAGTCCCCACACAAACTCTGTGCGGTTGGACACAAACCACCATCTTTTCCAAGGTCGTTGGTCACCCTTTTCAAAGCAACAACGATCCACAAGGCAACCCTGATCCAAACGAAGCTTCTTAGAAACCCTCTTAAACACAGTCTCATCCCACAGTCCTGACCTCTCAGGCCACTCGTGAGAAAGCAGAAGGTTCGGGGAGCCCACGTAAGGCTCCAACAGCTTCTCGATCCTTTTCCAGGACCTCTTGTGAACGGCCAGAGCCGCTCTCCACTTCTCCAGGGCCTTTCCTCCCTTCTTAAACCTCAGGTGCCTTAAACCACACCCAGCAGAGCACGGAGTAGACAAGTGAGCATACACCTTGACCTCACCTTCAGCTACGACTCCGAAAACCTCTCTCAGAAGACACAAGCCATTATAGCTCAGAAGATCAACTTCCTTAGTCACCCCAAAGTAGGCGATCTCGGGGACCTTCGAGCAGGCTTTGGACAACGCACTTCCTTCTTCACAACACAGTTCAACCACTACGTACTTAGCTTCACCACGAGCTAGCTTCAAAGCAGCGGCTTTCCAGGAAGGCGGAACAGACGGAGTAAAACGTTCGTTTTCATTGGGCTCTTCAAAAGACACGTGCACCTCAGTAGGCTCACTCTCCCAGGCCTTCGGTTCATCCACAAGGCCAGAGGCATCGTACAAACTAGCCAAACTTTCGTTGGTGGGACTCTTCGTGAGGGCGTCCGCAGGGTTTATCACTCCCGGTATGTGTTCTATAGTAAAACGACCCCTGGCCACCAGCTCCTGAAGGAATGCGGCACGCAGTTCGATGTGCCTCACTTTCCTCAGGAGGGTCTGCATCTTCGATATACAAACCGCCGATTCGGAATCAGAATATCCCTTATAAGAACATAATAACCGGTTTCCCTGTCTTTCGGCATACCCTCGCGGATGGTCTCCACAAGCAAAGCAATGTACAACCCTTCACGAGCAACCTCTGTGAGTGCAGCGAGTTCTGCTTCCGCACTGGAGAGTGCGGTAGTCGTTTGTTTCCTGCTGAAGCTTTTCAGGGAACAGTTCTCCCACGTAATGATCCCGCCGCTTACCGAATTCAGACTCCAGCTCGCGTCCGTAAAACAAGATACAGAGGCAGGGTCCGCATCATCTTCCAAGATCTCCCTTTTGCTCGGAAACCTCTGGACCTTGTGCGGAAGACCCTTGACCCAACGAAGGACATCCCTCATACAGGTCTCGGCAGCTTCGTCAGGAGCTGCTTGGTGGCGGCCCAGAAACCCACACACAAACTGCAGGTCTGGTCGTGACAGAGCCGCCCAGGCCAAACGGCCCAGAGTCCTTCTGTACCTTTCGTGAGCAGCTGGACTGATCAGCTCAGTCTGGCCTTTCTTCAGCAACTCAGCATAGCGGCGTTCAAGGGAAGGGAGCTTTGGTGCAGGTTTGGTGATTCCGTACTCCTCGCAACAGGAACTCAGGTACTGTTCGTCTAGCCCGAAATACACCGTACGTTCCCTTACGGCGAAAGATCCGCCGACCGAGAAACGAGACTTCCCCGGGGCAATCTTGAATCAACTCGCCCGTAAGTTTCAGTTTGTATCTTTTACGCAACTCCTCGTAGAACCGGCGCCCTTCAGCTTCATCTTCGCTATAGATCAGCAAGTCATCCACATAAAACAACACAATCGTCAAACCCTTCCTCGTAAGACGACGGAATATAGTGGGGTCCAAACTTGCTTCGAAGTTCTGAGAGCGCAAGTATTCAGCCAACTCGCAATACCAAGATAATGGAGCAGACCGCAATCCGTTCATCGCTTTACGCAATTTGACGAAAACTCGTTCCCCAGTCCCTTGGGTGCTCACATTATTCGGCAACTCTACGAATTCTGCCCTCGCTACGGGAGCATGCATGAACGCTACCGAGACATCGCAGGACAACACACTGCCACGTCGGCAGAGCATTGACAGAAGCAATCTCAGACCCTCCAATGAAGTAGTAGGAGAGTAGATTCCCTCACTCAAGGTGGTGCCTCCCATAGAGGCATAATCCCGCACGACTAGCCTAGATCTATACAGTCCCTTCTTCTTGACCGTGTTGACCCACCTGCTAGTCAAAACTCGCCTGCCGTTTTCCTTAGCAAGACGGCGAGCTTCGCGCTCAGGGATCACTTCCCCAACCTTGAAGGATTCCAACTCTTCCAACTCAAGCTTCATTGATGCGTAAAGAAGATCGGGTTCTAGCTTCTCTCCCGAAGTCTCAGACACAGCGTTCTGAGGAACAGCACACCTTATCTTCGTACCCCCAAACTTCAAATCAAACGACTTTGCAACTGCAGTGGAGGTGGCTCGCAGGTCAGGCCCTCGAAACAGGGACTCAAGATAGTGATTCGTGAGCCAGTCTATTTCCATATCCCCCTCATCGTTCACAACCTCCTGGTTCTCAGGCGCTTCCGACGGAGAATAGTCAGCAAGCTCATCTTCAATCATCTCTTCATCACCATCTTCATCCATTCCCACACCAGCCCCCTCATCAGGAGCATCATCACCAGGAGCCTCCAACGGATCAAACAGTATGGGCCTCTCGGGGTCCTCAGTGTCCTGCAGAAGAGGCTTAGCTAAAGATAGCTCTTCCAGGGTCTTGGCATCGTAGATGTCACCTCCCTGAATCATTCTGGCGACGGGGAATATATCTATTTCCCTGCTTCCGATAGGGACGGCAAAGATGCCGCCACCTTTGGCGTGCACCGGTCCCAGATAAACCGCTTTCACGGTCCGGGCGCCCCTGAACTTATCATGGTGCGCCTTGGACTTACTGACCTGAGCTTGAACCAGACACCCGAACGGTCTTGTCCGAGTTCGGTTCACAATCTCCTCATGCAGTCGATCTATGCTAGTGCTCGAATCCCCGACGCTAGTACACCAGAGGTTATAGCACCTAGCAACATAGAAAACACAGGCTTGCCAAAGCAAACCTCCCAAAGGTAACTGATACTTCCCAAGCTCAACGGCTTCCGTTTCCTGCTTCACCTTAGCAACCTCTTTCTCCAGGTCCAACCAAACAGACCAAAAACCCTGCTTCATAGTTTCAACCTGCCGCTCAATCGATCCCTTCGACTGGGGCCTGTAACCCGGAACCACGTCAATCAAAGTTGCGCTGGCAGGGCTGCTATCGCACTTGGTGAGTTTCTCGGCAAGGGCTCCAAGAGCCGCTTCTTGGTCCATCCGAAATGTAACCGCTTTGCCGACTAATCCCATTTCGCGAATCACACGGTTGATGTTGTGGAGCAGGTCAGGGTCATCGAGGTGCATCGCAGGAAGAGAGACAGTATACTTAGAACCGAGGTGCATCATCAAGAGTACCCTCAGTTTTCCGAAATAGAAGAAATCAAGACCTATGGTCTGGTTCTCTCTCTGCAGCTTCCTCCTCAAGCGACGCGCCGGAACGCGCCCTTTCGAAGAACAACACGCTTCACAATTGGAATCAAACGGAAAATGCCCTCGGCTCCGATGATTATACAACGAAACAGAAGAAAGGGGAACCCTCAGGTCCTCCTCGTCCTCAGGTCCAACCGGGTCGTCAGGTGGTGTTGGACCCTTTTCTTTTCGAGGTTTCTTGGAAGAGCCAGGGGCAGATCCTAACGGTTCAGGGTCCTCATCAAAGATTCCTTCAGGATCTAAAGGATTACGACTAGAAGCTTCAGGTTTTAAGGAAGTTTCGGGAGCAGGTCTCGAGGAAGGTTCGGGGTCTAAGTCAAACGGATCAGAACGTGTACCGGTCCCCGGCGACGGTAAACCTCTAAAGCGCACGGCTCGGAGCACGTGCTCAACTTGTTCCGTCTTCTTTGCCGGGGCCGGTTCATCATCTCCGGCACAAAGCATGCCAAACATGCCGCAACATGCGCACTTTAAGTTTTCACAGACATGCTCACAAACGCGCTGCCCAAAACCTTTCACCTCACGACTCAAAAGAAGTTTCCTACTCACCTCGACGCGGGCCCAACGGTCCCGCAGCTTAATCCTAAAGTGGCTTCCGCGTTTTCTAGAAAACACCCTGTAGAACTTCCGTGGCCTCTTTCGCGAAACCACTTTCCTGAAACACCGAAGTAACCCTGAAGAAACCCACAAAGCTACACCACAGAAGAGGCTGTAGACCGTCAGGAGGAGCACGATGATACCAAGATCCAGTCCTGGCGTGAAACCATTCCTGAAAGCGGCCGTGGTTTTAAAGGTGCGGGTTTCGAAGGTAGGAGGGTTCGAGGTACGTTGGGTTGGTTTTCGAGCAAACGCAACATGCCACAGACCATGCCAACGCTCATGCCACACAACATGCTGCTGCAAAACGTGCTGCTGCAAAGTGTGCTGCTGCAAAGCGTGCTGTTGCAAAACGTGCTCGCAAGAAAAAACTTTTGAACTCCAACCCCTCGGTGCGGATCGCCGCAGAGTCACTCCAAAAGCCTCTGGCCCTCTTCGAGGGCTTGCCTCACCTGCGCAGTCACTTGACTGTGGCTTAAAGATGGCGGGCTGAGCACAAATGCCCGTTCCTGGGCAGTCTGTCCTGTGGCAGAAGCACTCATAGCTCTCGGAGGCGTTGGTAGCCGAGATCTTTTTGGAACCGACGGCGGGATGTTCACGCCGTGCCTTTGATAGTCCTCCCTCTGCATCCCCTCCGGAAGCGTAGGTGCTGAGACCCTCGGGAGATTGAATGCAGTAGCCACCAGTTCTCCAGGTGGCATCGAGGAAGCCGGGCTCGGCGGTGCTGGCTGTCCCGCCTCGGCGGGCTGATTTCCCTCGTCGGCCCCAACGAAGCCATCCAATTGGGACAGCCTCTGGCCTGTAAGTTCTTCCAACGTGCGCCATATGGCGATGTCGGATAAATCTTCTTGGCCCTGGGCCCTGTTCAGCGCCGTAACTTCTCCTTCTCCAAGGAGCAAAGACTCCTCGTCGGAGCTCGAAGAGGTGGTGTCCACAACACCGCCCTGAGGGATCGCTGCCGATTTGGCCCTTGCCGCTCGCATGGATTCCCGGGCCTCGTGGAGGCGCTCCTCCTCTCGTTTTCGCCTGTAATATCGGGCAACACGGAGATATATGCCCGAGTCTAGGTATGCCCAAGCCGTTTTGAGCTCGAGCGAGGTGACAGACTGGGGCACCTTTACGAGCAGACTCGCCCGCGCTCCCACCAGTCCCCTGTATCCAGCAGGCGTAGCCAAATAGGTTTGCAGTACAGCTCGACAATGGAAGATATAGTGTAACATAGACACAGGGTTGGGTTCCTGGAACCTTCGTTTCCACGCTGCCCGAGCGGCCCGTGGAGCCTCCAGAAGTTCGGTAACCCTGACAGCGAACTCCACGTCTTCCATATGAAGCCCGTACTCTGCTAGGCTCTTGCCCTCTAGGCAACGTCCCAACCAAACCTCCCATTCCTGCTGCCCAATGATACATTGGGCTTCCGATTCCACCATCTTCGGCCTCGAAACCCTCACTGGCTCCTCCGGATAGGCCGCTGTCACAGGAATCACTGGAGTGGCTGGTAGCCAAGCAGCTGGATGCTCTAGGTCGGGCAGGCCTATCGGACCGAGCATTGTCGCCGTCGGAGAGCAAAGTGCTCTCAAGGCGTGGCCTGGAGCACAGAACGCCAGGGATGGGGCATCGTAGGCATCGTCCATGTTCGCTGGAATCCCCGCCAAGTGCGAGAGCAACGGAATAGGCTCGGTAGAGTCGACCGAGACCTTTGCAAGGCCTAGTGTTTCCGCATGCTCCCATCTGCGGCCAGCCTCCAGCCTCAACGCTCTCAGGAGGAGTTGGGTTCCCACATCCATCTGAACAGCACCAAACGGAGGGCTCAGCGAGCCCGGCGAGATATTCGCCGGGATTCCAACCCGCGGTGGCGTAGGCCCCTCGACCTCTGAAGGAACCCCAGCGCGCAGGCGCTTCGAAGGATTCGGCCACTGGGTGCCCCAACTCTCCTCCCCTTCGCTCTCTGAGAACAAAGGGCTCTCTGCAATATCCGCCTTCGGCGGACTCCTCGCAGCATTTTCCTCCACAGGGCTTCCAGCAGCATCTGCCTGCGAAGGGCCATCTGCAGAGCTCTCCGCTGCTTCCGTCACCACTGGCGACGGGTAGACCGCCACCGGCGACGATGGTCCCCCACCCGGCGGCTCGACCCCCGGTAGTTCGAAAGAGGGGCTCTCCAAAGCCGGTGGAGTAGGCGGTTTCCCAGGAGAGCCTGGGCTGCTCAAAGCAACACTCGGGGTAAACTCGTCCCCGCTGGCACCGTCCATTATGATCTCCAAAGGGAGACCTCTCTTCACCAAAGAGAAAAACGGCTGCAGATGAATCGTGCGCAGTGCTAGCGCAAACATTCGGCAACATCAGCGTTTGCAAAATCAAGCCAAGCATGCCAACATGCCACTGTTTCCTAGGTTCACGCAGCTGTTTCCTAGGCTCACGCAGTTGCTTCCTAGGCTCACGCAGTTGCTTCCTAGGCTCACGCCGCTGCTTTCGCAACCCTTTTTCTACCCTCTTGTGGCTGAAGGGTCTGTCTTCTTCACAAGCAAGACCCACCCAGCTGCAATGCTACCATCTGCATCGCTCTCAGCATACTGCGAATCTGGAACTTCGTCGTGGGCACGTAGCCATTGCAACCCAGACCAATGTTGAATGCAGGCCCAACAATAATGATGGGTGTGCGCAGGTTTGCGTCTGACGCAGACCTGCTTTCCGCACACTTCGCACCGGCACTCGCATTCTGGCTTTGATCCGCCCAGATAGTTTCCCATAGCAGGAAAAAGAGGCGTATGCCGAGTCTTTCTGCAAAAACCGTAAGGGTAAAAGCCCGCTTGAGCACAGCAGCCAAAACCCACTGCGCTTGCACAACCATGTCCATCATGAAAACATGCCATCGCAAAACCATGGAAAAACATGCCAAAAACATGCAAAGCACCATGCCAACATGCGACTGTTTCCTAAAATCAAGAGCCATGCCCACATGCGACTGTTTCCTAAAATCAAGCGACATGCCAGCATGCAACTGTTTCCTAAAATCAAGCGTCGTACCCTGCCTAAAGTCACTAGACTCTTCTAGAAGATCACAAAGCTCAATCTCCCGTGGTGCAGGCACTCTTGGAGCAACTTCCGCCCTAAGACCCCGAAGCAGAAACCCAAAAGGAGTGGCAGCCAAAGCGTGGCGGCCAGACTCGTCTTCTTCCGAAGTCTTTCTTCCTTTCTTCAGGATTCCTTCTCCAGGCTTCTGGGGTCCTGCGGTGGACTCCTTGCTCGATCCTAGCAGGTCGCGGTCCTTCAAGGCATCTATCTCCATATCCTCGATCCCTTTCGGGGGGCGTCTGGAAGAATTCTCTTTCCCTCGGCCCTTGGACCTCCCGCTCAGAGCCCACCAGGCGCGCGAAGCGCCCATCAGCTTGATGCTCTTCTTTCCGTTTCCTTTGTACAATCGTGATCCCGATTTGGCTAGATAGGTTTTCCAGCCCCGTTCCGACCCGGTCCAAGGCGAAACAACGTTGAACCCAACATCCGCCACCAAGACCTCTTCCAACCTCAGGAAAACATCTCCAAAATGAACCTCAAGGTCGACAACCCCCGAAACGACGATCGCACCACCCGAGGCATTGAACAGATTGGCCGTTCGGTCGTACTTCTTGACAACACGAAATCCTGAGAGATGTTTGTCTGAAACAATGTGGCAGGTGGCTCCACTATCGACTAGCCACAGGTCCCCAGGAGTAGTCTCGAGGGCCTTGCAGACATGAGCTACGTCGCCGTGCTTCAACACACGGGATCCTAAGGAGCCCATAGACTCAGAACCTCGACTCTCAGACCCAGGCGACCCTTCGGGTCCTGAACCCGGCTTCGGAACTACAAGGGCGGACGGCTCAGGTCTCTCAGGCTGGCTCAGAACACGGCGTTCCGCAGAAGAGGGCTCCGAAGAACCACGCCCAGGACAGGAAAACCTCATCGCCATCACTGTGGCGCTTCCTCCCGACTCGGCCTCGGACTCCGGCTCTGTCAAGGAGCGTCCCTTTCCAGGCTGTCCCTTCTTCTTTTTCTTCTGCTTCTTGCCTTTGTCCTTTCCTTTGTCGCCTTTTCCTCTGTCGCCCTTGCCCTTCTCGGAACCACGGGGCGTGCCAGATCCCTTGGGAGTCTGGTCGCCTTTGCCTTTCGGCTTTCCTTTGTCTCCTTTCCCTTTGCCCTTCGGAGCACCACCGCGTTCGCGTTCTTCCTTTTGGCGCTGCCAACACTTGTCGGCTGTGTGTCCCTTCTTCCCGCAGTAGTCGCAAAGCTTCTCCTGCAAGGCTCGGCCCGAAGACCCAGGGGCCTCACACAGTCGCAGCTGCTCCTCGTAGTAAGTCAGCGTCCTTCGAAGAGCTTCCCAGTTCGAGCTGGACCCGTGCAGTACCACGTACTGACGCACTTCTGCACCCAAGCTCTGTAACAGGACAGAGCAGCGGTCAGCCTCAGACAGCTGAAGCTCCGGAAAGTTGCTCAGCTTCGCTTCAGACTTCGAAAACGAATCCTCAAGATGTCGAATCAAGTCGGTGGGCCTCTTCAGATGCCCAACGTGCTGGTACAACTTCAAAGCCTGTTCTCTCACGAAGACAGCTTCCATCCGCGACACGATGGAGTACTGAGAGGTAATTGTTCGAATCACCTCGTAGCCGCAGGCGCTCTGCCCCTGCCTCTTCGAGCAGGACCTCAAGAGCTCGCTTCCCCGCTCCCACTTGGCGAGGGACTGCGTCAAGTAGTAGAACAGCTTGGAGCTACGCGCTGCAGTTTCGGGATTCAAGTCAGCTTGCACAATCTCCTTCTTCACAGGGATGCAGAGCTGCAGTTCCCGAACAAACGCTTCTTCCTGCAGGGCAAGCCAGGAACTCAGCGTCTCCATAAAGGAGTGCCAAGTTTCTACCTCCTTCATGCGCCCTTTCCCCATGCCTTGATGGTCTATCACCGGAAGGTTCGGCAGATACTTCTCTGCACGGCCTCCAGCACCAGAGTACCCAGAGGGAGACGGAACTGCCGGAGAAACTGCCGAACTCGCGGCAGAACTGCTCGCGGGAGCAGTGCTCGGCTGGAAGGGGTCCCGAGTCTTAGCTGCCTCTGCTGCCTGCTTGGCCGCTTCAGCTGCCTCGTGAACTTTCTCTTCCGCTTTGTTCCTTCTCTCTTCCTCCAGATCCATTCTCCGGAGCATCGTCGCAACGAGCTGCTGGTTCATTGCCATCATCTCTCTCTGCTGACGAAGCAATTCCATCATGAATCCAGGCATCTGCTCAGGCGTAAAACCTGCAGAACCAGAGCTGCTACTCGGAGCAGCAGCCTTCGGACTCTGAACAGGTGGAGCCGACGCCTTTGGACTTTGCACAGGAGGCACAGTAGCACCAGTCGGCGAACCCACCGCTGGTACAGAAGGCTGTGCTTGCGTAGGAGCAGGAGCCGGACCTTGGACAGGAGCAAACGGATTCGCTCCCTGCTGAGCAGCCGCTTCAGGCGCTGGTCCTGGACCAAAAAGCTCGAACTCTTCTTCTGCAGTGGTCTCCGGCACAGGAACGTCTGCCATGGCTTTACTAGGAACGCACTCAGCGCTCCGCTACCATGTGAAAAACGCAGAGCAAGTCTCTTTTCACTCCACGCTTGAGCCAAACACCGAAGTGTTCAGCAAGGTCTCTTGCGGAGTCTCGCGCAGCAAATTCCGTGTCAACTTTGCTAAACAAAGGAGGAATGACATGCAACTGTCCTAACACTTCTCAGGACTTCTATACTCACTCAAACAGCAGTGCACAGCCACTCTGTCCCTTGGCTTGTTCCCACCGGCACGAGCGAAGCGAGGGTCGGCGGAAAACAGCAACAGTGCAGTCAGAGCAACACGCACTTCTTCAAGGATGCCCAAAAGCATCTCTGGTTGCCAGTCAAAATATGTTGAAGGAAGTTGACTGGATCTGCGAGACGGCACCATTTTTGGGGTCGCAAGCTGGATTCCTGCACCCACAGCGGCTGAATCTTGTCAACTGCGCTTGTATTGACTTTGGGGAGCGTATGGTGGAGGACCGTTTGGAAGGTTGGAACTTGTCCAAAGCAGCTGTGCTCGCCTAATAGTGCTGCAGCCAGCGGAATGCATGTTCTTTCATGTCTATCACTTCCACAGGCAAGCTGTCTGTTGGAAATTCTTGTTAGATGGATGCCTGCCTGTGGCGAGTCGTCTTCATGTCGCAGTGTGGAACGCACAGGCTTGGGCTTGGGCCCCAAAATGAGGAACTAAAAACATTCGAAGCAAAAAACGAAACGAGACAAAACGAGTGCGGTCACTAACCTGATTCAAAAGCAGTTCTTCCATTTGAGTCCGTGCACAAATTCCGAAAGGCCACGGGTAATGCGCTCCAGGCGTCACACTGCTGCACACAGGATTTCAGCAAATACCACAGGATGTTCAGATATGCTACACACCTGCTGGCTGATCTGTACTACACAGATGACATACCACAGTCGGAATCATCTCAATTGACCGCAGAAACAGCACAAGGATTTGGACCAGGTGCAAAAAAAATCACAGCTGATGATGCACATCACTGATATTCCCATCAAGGTCAGTGCAACTACAACCCACATGTCACAACCAAAGTCGGCATCACAGGACACGAAACCTAACAAGGATCGCTTGTAAAACGCAGTCAAGAGCTGAAATTCACTATACATCTGACGAAAGTCGGCACTGTGCCAAAGTGACCAACAGTAGCCGTGGGAGTACCGCAAATGCACCACAAGAAACTTGGATTTGCCAGAACTGACCTTGCACGCACAACTGTCGCCACCGACGTTGACATTACAACGTGTGACCGCTGATCATCAACCCGCATTACAAGCAAAGGCTGCGCAGATATTTGGAACTGTTGCACCGCATGCAAAGACATGGAATGCGATACTGCAAAATTTACAGCTACAAGCCATGGCTGTCGCCACCGAAGTCGGAACTCTGCCCAGGTTAACACACTACTGCACACAGCACGTTAGCAAACGTGGAGTTCCCGAACTTGCCAGGGGGGGGACGAATTCCAGAACCCGAGGTTCCAACACAGAGTTCCCAAACACCGGGTTCCAACATAGAGTTCCCGAACCCAGGGTTCGAACTCCCTGGGGGACGGAGGGGGGTTCCGGAACCCGGGGTTCCGGTATAGAGTTCCTCAAACCCCAGGTTCGGGTATGGAGTTCCGAACCCAGCATTCGGACTCTCTGGGAAGGGGGAGGAGTTCCCGAACCCGGGGTTCGAACGTGACTCCCAACCCCGGGTTCGAACATAGAGTTCCCGAACCCAGGGTTCCGAACATGGAGTTCCCGAACCCCGGGTTCGAACATAGAGTTCCCGAACCCAGGGTTTGAACATAGAGTTCAAACTCCAGGTTCAACCTGGGTTCGAGTTCGAACCCAGGGTGCAACCCTGAGTTCCGAAAGGCGAAGAGTTTGAACCCAGGGTTTGAACATAGAGTTTCCGAACCCAGAGTTCGAACTCTGGCGGTCCTCAAGAGTTGAGTTCCCAGGTTTCGAACATTGAGTTTCCGAACCAGAGTTCGAACATGGAGTTTCCGAACCCAGAGTTCGAACTCTTGTCTTATTGCTTCTTGTTCTCTCATTTTATTTTTTTTTGCAAAAACCCGATTAGCGATTTCGTGTGTCTTCTTCTCTTTTGCTTGTGCTTAAGGGTTGAGTTTGTGGTTGTAGTGTGCTCTCAGTAATTTTATTCGCAAAACCCCCCACAAGCGATTCTATGTGGCTTCTTTTCCTTTTGTTTGGTGATTGTTGGTGTTCTGTTCGAACCCCGTTCGAACTCTGGGGGGAAGTCTAGAACCTGGGGTTGGGCGGTTCATTTGTTCGCGCCTTTAGCATTCTCGTAGGAGACTTCATGTCCTTCTGAAGCCCCCTTGAGAAGAAAGACTCCTCGTCATTGACAATCTTTTTCTTTGTTTTGTCTTTCTTTTATTTCTTCGCCAAAACCCCCGATAAAGTGGTTTCGTGTGGCTTCTTCTTCTTTTGTGGCAGGGACTGGTCATTGGTAGTCTTTTTTTTTGTTTTCGGCAAGCTTCTAAAAACAGCGGGGGGGTTGGGGGGGGGGCGCAGCCCCCCCCAAACGTGGAGTTCCCGAACTCGCCAGGGGGGGGACGAATTCCAGAACCCGAGGTTCCAATACAGAGTTCCTCAAACACCGGGTTCCAACATAGAGTTCCCGAACCCAGGGTTCGAACTCCCTGGGGGACGGGGGGGGGTTCCGGAACCCGGGGTTCCGGTATAGAGTTCCCCAAAACCCAGGTTCGGGCATGGAGTTCCGAACCCAGGGTTCGGACTCTCTGGGAAGGGGGAGGAGTTCCCGAACCCGGGGTTCGAACGTGGAGTTCTCCAAACCCCGGGTTCGAACATAGAGTTCCCGAACCCAGGGTTCGAACATAGAGTTCCCGAACCCCGGGTTCGAACATAGAGTTCCCGAACCCAGGGTTTGAACATAGAGTTCAAACTCCAGGTTCAACCTGGGTTCGAGAAGTTCGAACCCAGGGTTCAACCCTGAGTTCCGGAGTTATATGTTCTCCCCCCCCCCCCGGGCCCCCCGGGAGTTCGAACCCTGGGTTCCGGAACACTCCAAAAACCTATGCTCGCAAATACCCCACAAGAGGCTGAGATTGCTACACATGTAATTAGTGGTACAGGATCCGCTGCGAAAGAGTCGCAGCTGCAAGCTTCGTCCAGTGGATTTTGCTGCAGTCCTAGGTGATCCACGCAGTTCATGTTCACGTATATGAGTCTTTGTTGGCGACAGTAGTCTGTAGTGCCAAAGGGAATCACTTCTAAGATGTATCGGATTAGTGTGCCTGTGGCGCCTTCACTGCAATCCTCTGTGTGGATCTGTGGTTTATTGGGGCAGTAATGACAGTGATGTGCCGCATCAGCTACCCATCCATCCGATTCTCCAGCTGTCGTTACTGCAGTCTACGCGCACAGCGTGCATGCATTTTAGAAGGAGCATGCCATGTGGAGGTGCACCTGAAGGTTAGCTAAATCAGTCCACACCCTAATTCTACACAGCTCAAGAAGTCCTGTTCAGATCTGCAGATACCTTCCAGAAAATTCCGCCGCTCTTGTATGATCTGTTCCGACCCACCTTCTCGACACCATAACTCTGCATGGCTTCATCTGCTCTGTTCAGAAATGCTAGAGTCATCTCTGGCAAAAATTCCCTGTCTTTGTACGATGTTAAAGCTGCACAGTTGTAGAGCTGTCGGGCGACCCCATTTTAACGCCCGCAAAACACAAGCAATGGCAAGTCCAACACGACGGAACCAAGTCAGAGCACCGTGCAAGTGACCAGGCAAGGGTGTAGAATAGACCGCCGAGCCCGCACGATGCAGGGCGGAAGGATTACCACCTGCCCATTGTGAGACGCATGTTACTCAGACCTATGTCGCTCTCTCAACTTCCAGAATATCGACACAACGACGTATGTCGTCAGTTCCAGGTCGCAATAGAGTGGAGGTCATCTAGTGGAGTCGGTCGCTGGAGAGGAATGGTGCATGCTCTGCTTCGAGCCCGCATGGTGCCAGCGCGGCGCAACCTTGACTCTGTCACTCTGCTGGAAGGCCCTCGACGGTCTTTTTCTTCTGTGCCGCAGTCGTGGCGGCCGCCGAGTATTTCACTATGCACAACGACGAGGATGCGCTGCCTAAGCCACACGAAATCGTTTCATGGGCGTTTGTGTAAAGAAAAATAAAATGAGAAAAGCAGACTTCAGAAGAAGAAGCCACACGAAATCGCTTTTGCGAAGAAAATAGTATCCACACTGTAAAGACTTCGAAAACCGTCTTTCATCCCCCCTTCAAGCCCCTTGAGCCTCCTTCAAAGCCTCCAGCCCCGAAGTTCTGTGTTTCTCGATTGTGCACACAAAAATCTACAAGTCTACAAAGAGAAGCCACGATGAAAGCCATCTATCAGCCGTGCGGCAATGAAAAAATTGTAGCCATCCAACCAGAGAACCTCCACTCGAACCGGTACCTTGGAAACTCACACATTCTGACAGAGATGTGGCAAGCCGGAGGAAGATACAGCCTCTAAAAGCCCTTGCAAGCCCTCGACAGATTTTAGGCTGGCACATTTCGGATGGACTTTGCTCCTTCCTTGTTTTGGTTTTCTAGTGATTTATGGTTTTTTTTTGCGCTTGCCATTCAGAATCAAGCCGCAGTCGATTTTAACCCATTAGTCAGTGCCAAAGCGGAAAACGCTTGCAAAGCGCAGAGCAGCGTTCAATTGAAAATAGTGGTAGTAGTCGTAGTAGTAGTAGTAGTAGTAATACTAGTAGTAGTAGTGGCAGTAGCAGTAGTAGTAGTAGTAGTAGTAGTAGTAGTATCAGTAGTAGTAGCAGGAGTAGTAGCAGCAGCAGCAGCAGCAGTAGTAGTAGTAGTAGTAGTAGTAGTTGTGGTTGTAGTAGGTAGTAGTAGTAGGAGTAGCAGTAGTAGTAGTAGTTGTAGTAGTAGCAGTAGTAGTAGCAGTAGTAGTAGTAGAAGTAGTAGTAGTAGTAGTAGTAGT